ATCTCCCTCAAAATACTCCCGCTTGCTTTGAATGTACTTATCCCATCCTCTTTATGAGGCAGTTCTGAAAGACCTCTTCAGTTGCATTGTTATGATTGCTTTGTTGTTCTGAATTGATTGAAACAATTTTTACCGTTTATGGTCATTTTGACTTTGAGGAAGTCAGAAGTCTTCCAATGACAGGATCTAATGAATAAATTGGATGGGGACACACTGTTACGTTTTTCCAAGCCTGCCTTTCCATTGGATGACACTCAGTATCAGCATTTACCATGTTTTTTTTAAATCACACCTTGTAAAGATATAAAAGAAGACTTCCAGAGCTGCTTCAGAAAGTGGCAAGAGTGATGCAGTCAGTGTGTTTGAAGTGAAGGGGCGTATTCTGAAGGGAATTAATGGCAATGTATCTTTTACTGTAGTAAGTTTTTTTAAAAAAATTAAATATTCACTGTGTATTTCTATCATATCATGCTTATTGGTTGCATACATATTTATGATCTAGATATTTCAACTGATTTATCCTTTTGTCATTTTATAATGTCTCTGTCTCTGGGCATACTCCTTGTCTCACACAAATAAAGCTCTAAAACGCTGACTTAAAGCTGGATGTGGTGGTGTACTTCAGGAGGCTGAGGCAGGAAACCACACATTCTATCTCATTCTTGGCAACCTAGCAATTTAGGGAGATTTGCCTCAAAAAACTTTTTAGAGGTTTGGGGATGTAGCTCAGTGAAGGGCCTGGGTTCAGTCCTCATTACCTATATATGTACGTGTATTGTGATTTAAATACTGTGCACTTTTGTGGCAGAGTGGGAAAGAGCAAAGAAGGGGATGAACTCACTCTGTCAAGCCCTTTCATAAGAGTATGTAATCCTGTGAGGCATTATGGAGCACGCCTGTAATACTAGCACTCAGGAGGCTGAGGCAGGAGGATCATGAGTTTGAGTCCATCTGGATTACATAGTAAGCTCAAGGTAGCCTGGATCACATAGCAAGACCATGTCTTTAAAAAGGGAAAAAAAAAAGAGTATCTAATCCTGTTTTTTGAGGGGAGGATTCTTCATGACCCTATTGCCTGTCAGTCTATACATCCCATTTCTGGTACATTGGTGATTAAGTTTCAACATGAATTATTTTTTTCTTGCCGTGCTGGGGATTGAACCTCCCAAGCTCTTGTGTGTGCTAGGCAAGCACTCTACCACTGAGCTACATCCTTAGCACTCAAGATGAATTTGTGTGTGTGTGTGTGTGTGTGTGTGTGTGTGTGAGAGAGAGAGAGAGAGAGAGAGAGAGAGAGGAGAGGGAGAGGAAAAGAGGATGAGAGAGACAGAGACAGAGACAGAGAGAAGAGAGTGTCTTGCCATGTACTCCAGGCTGGCCTTGCACTTAAAGTTCTACCTCAGCCTCCCGAGTGCTGGGATTACAGGTGTGCACCACCACGCCTGGCTTCGTATATGCCCTTTTCAATGACTGCAGCCCTGCAGTGGTTGCTGTCCAGTGTCTACATGTGGTGGTTTGATATATTTTGTCAAGTTTTATTGCTGACTGCCTCTCTCATTATGAAGTCATTTCTTTCTAGTGTTGTAGTCAAGAATCCAAAGTTCTGTCTACTTATCAGAATGGGACTTCATTCTTTCTTGAAACTCATGTATTTCTTTTTGTTCCCAGTATTCTGAGATTTACTGGCAATTTTTTTTTTCCATTTTGCCTGGTAGATAATAAGGTTTTTTGGTTTCATTTGTGATATGTAAAAAATGCACAGAAATGCAAATAAAAGCATAGAGGTTGTACTATGTGAAATGACCATTACCATTTTTGTATATCACAACAGTTGAATGTCAACAGTTTCAAACTGGTTCTACCTGTTATACCATTTAATGGTCAGTGTCTAACATTTTGGCATATTTGCTTCCACACTTCTTTGTTGCAGTATTGGGGATTGAATCAAGGACCTTCACACTGAGCTATATCCTCAGTCCCTTTATGTTTTGAGATAGGATTTTTCTAAGTTGCTGAGTCTGGGCTCAAACTTGGAATCCTCCTGCCTCAGCCACTCAGAGTGCTGGGACCATAGATGTGTGCCACCACAGGCCTATCACCCGACGTATTTTGTGTATTTAATTTCCTTAATATTACACAACTCGTCTACGAACTCAGTTTCTTTCTCACTACATCATGAATTTGCTCTCCCTTTCATGCCTTTTCTTATTTGATTTTACCTTATTAAACACTCTTTGCCTGAGAGGTGCCAATATAAGTTTTGTGTGTTACTTTCCTTGTTGCTAGGACATAATATCCAACAACAACAAAGGAAAGGAAGAAAGGTTTATTTTGATTTTCAGTTTGTAGAGGTTTCAGCTCATAGTGAGTTGACTGCATGGTGGGGTTGCATTGCAGTAAGGCATAGCAGAAGGAAAGCTGCTTATGGCCTGTCACCTAGGCAACAGAGAGAATCACAGGGTCCAGGATAAACCCTTTCAGGGCTGTGACCCAGGACCCATCTCTTCTGACCAGACCCTGCCTCCTAATGTCAAGGCAGTCATAGCCCCATAACTCATTCACCTTCAAAAAGCCTCACCTCTGATCACATGAGGCTTTGGGGAGACATCTATATATAAACCATAACATCATTCCTCTTTTTTAGAATAATTTTGTGTACATTAATAGAATTATGAAAAATTTTGAGGTCATGTAACACATTTTTTGTATTCTGCTAAACTTCTATTTTCAGGCTTTATGTTAAATTTGACTCTTGTAAATGTATGCTTTTTAAAAAACCTCTGAGGGCTGGGGATTTAGCTCAGTGGCACTGTGCCTGCCTTGCAAGAGCAAGGTCCTGAGTTTGATCCCTGGTACTGCTAAAAACCCCAAATAAAACAAAAATAATAATTAAAAAACACCTCTGAGAGTCTTAGTCTTGATTTTTTTTTTTGTTTTTTTTGGTACCAGGGATTGAATTTGGATCCTTGCGCTTGCAAGGCAGGCCACCGAACTGCTGAGCTAAATCCCCGGCCCTAGTCTTAGTCTTTTACTAAACATTTATATCCCGTTGTCCATTCCCAGGGCCTTTGCATTTCACTGCATCCTCTGCCCTCTTCCTCCTTTTTTCTTTTTCAAAACAGGATCTTGCCAAATTGGGCAAACTGGGCTCAAACTGGATGTCCTGCTGCAGCTCTTGGAGCGCAGGGATTACAGGTGTATGCCACCACATTTGGCTGTGACTATTGATTTTCTTGATCTACTTTCCCTCTCTTCTAGAATGTCAAGATACTATTTTCATCTTTTCAACATTTATTGTATTCTTTTTCAGTGCTTATTTAAATGTATATTTTAAACAAAGTTTAATCAGGGTTTGTTTTCCTCCAAAACATAAACTTTCTGCCTGCCTTGCTATCAAGTTGTTGGCACTCAAATATTAGTTATAGCTTATTATGTGATATATTTCACTGACTTACTTATTATTTTTGTATCCAGATGATCCTTGCTAGGTTTAATTTTCTTTTGGAGTATGCCTTTATTAGTAGTAATAATATACCTGACATTTATTACATAATAGTCATCATTCTAGATCAGGGGCTGTCAGACTATGGCCCACTGTCCAAATGGCCTGCTGCTTTGTTTTTGTATAGTGTACAAGGTAAGACTGATTTTTAATTTTAAATGAGAAACAAAATGAAAGAATCTTTTTGTGCTTTGAAAATTATATGAAATTCAGATATCAATGTCTATAAATCAAGCACCTGTGCCATTTGTTTACATATTGTTCGTGTCTGCTTTTATAGTAGGACAGCAGAGTTGATTAGTTCCAGTAGAGACTACATACAGCCTGCAAACTTTAATATATTTACTGTTAGAATCTATAGATAGTTTACCAACTCTAAGTATTTTCAGCATTTCAGAGGTACTCCATTATTTTCTGTCTTCCATATTTTTTAATGAGCTCTTTTATTATCGTTCCTTTGAAGGTAATATTTCTGCTTCTGGGATCTTAGCAGTTTTATTGTGATGTACTTAAATGTGGATTTTTTTGGTAGGGGTATTCTACTTGGGGTAAGGGGTGTTTATTGAAACAGTGGCCTGATGCGAGCTCTTTTGAAAAATTCCTAGCTATTATCTCTTTAAATATTGTTTCTGTGCATTTGTCTCCCTATATTAGGTTTTTGACTGGTTCTCTGTGTCTTTTAGGCTCTGATGTATTTGCCATCAATTGTTCCTTACTGTATTTGTCTGGATTTTGTTTTTTTTAACTGACACGTCTTCCATTTCACCAATCATCTTTTCTACTATTTCTGTGGCTTGGAAGGGCTCTAGGGAGAACCTCACTTGTGTCTTATAATTTGTTTTATAAAAAAAAGTGCATCTTCTGCCTTGAAATATTCCAAACTTTAATATCATTTGATATCATAAAAATTACTTATGTGAGCTTCATTACTACACTATAGTAATAACATCAAATGCTGAATGTTTATATACATGTCTTCCTGTATATGCCTTGAGAGCACAATGTTTTATTAATTTTATTAATTACTTTATTTATTTGGTACCAAGGATCAAACTTAGAACCTTGCACTTGTGAGACAGGCATGGTGCCACTGAGCTAAATCCCCACCCTTTTAGTAATTTTAGATACAATCAAAAAAACATGTGAGAGGGCTAGGGACTTAGCTCAGTGGTTCGGTGGCATGCCTTGCAAGCACAAGGACCTGAATTCAATCCCTGGTACCAAAAAAAAAAAAAAAGATGCCAGAGACAGGGGAATCTGAATGAATGTCTTTTAACTATAAAAATATTTGGAGGTACACCAAAACAAAGCAAACAAGATGAACAGTGTTACATGTAAATATTCATGGTGAATGACTTAGAGTATATATACAAAATGTATTTAAGCTTTTTATATTCTTTATACATCACAAAAAGCTCATGTCATAATGACCAGCCATGTACCACTTCAGGTGTCAGTTTCATTCACGGATGTGACTGTGGACTTCACTCAGGAAGAGTGGGAGCAGCTGGACCCTTCTCAGAGGATTTTATACATGGATGTAATGTTGGAGAATTATAGCAACTTACTTTCAGTGGGTAAGAACAGCTTTTGGGTGTACCTCACTTTTTGTCTAGTACCAGTTGCATCCTTTCTTGATTACCAAAAATTATAAGCTTCTGCAAAATTATTATTATTATTATTACTTTTTGTGGGAGGGGGTGTTGAGACAGGGTCTCACTATGTAGTTGAGACTGACCTGGAACTCAGTGAAGCCCATGCTTCTGCAAAATTATTATTATTATTATTACTTTTTGTGGGAGGGGGTGTTGAGACAGGGTCTCACTATGTAGTTGAGACTGACCTGGAACTCACTGTGAAGCCCAGGCTGGTCTCTAACTCACAGCAGTCCTCCTGCCTCAGCCTCCTGAGTGCTGGGATTACCGGCGTGCTCCACCACGCCCAGTTTAAAGCTTCTGCATTATTAAATGATATTGACCTCCATTTCTTTTGTTGGAGCTGAGTACAGCCTCTGACAGTCTACCTGCTTGATTTTCAAGGTTCCTAAAGTCCAAGCAATTAGGAATTATCAAAGAGTCATGGACGGTACCATTAGAATTGTCAATTCAGCAGTTCCTGGGGAAGATATTAAAAGTAAAATGATATAAAAGCCAGTAAAAGCAATCCAGCAATTCTGAACAATCAGTACATTTGACATACTTTTCATGAAACCTTTTTTTTAAATTCCAAAACATTTAGAGGTGGCTGAGGACAAATGACATGTGCCTCTGATCTTAGTCACACCTCAAAATATACATCTCTTCCCCACTTAATTTTTCCCTGTTTGTAGATACTCACCTAATATATCTTAAACCTTGGTGTTGTTATTAGTTGCTTTTTAATTGGTATTCTTGCTTTTTCTAGAATGCCGACTTCCGTATTACAGCTTTTAGGAATTGGTGTAGTGACCTCGAGGAAGATGCAGATATTTCAGTACAAGAGTGGAATTATTGTCCCAGGTGAAATGATAGCAGGATCACAAGAGTTAGAGTAACCAGTAATATATAAGATGAAAGTAAGAACTGGGTAATTTTATCCTTAAGATCTCTTCAGATAAAGGCACAGACATATTAAAAGGAGAAAAACAGAATGTGATGATGAGCTGGGTTCAGTGGTATACACTTGTAATGCTATTCTGGATGGGTAAAAGAATCACAAGTTTGAGGCCAACTTGAGAACTTGGCAAGATTCTTTCTCAAAATAAAATTTAAAAAGAGCTGGGGATGTAGCTCAGTGCACCTGGGGTTCAATCTCTATTCAATAAAATTTTTAATTCATAATTTAAGATATATATAGACAGACACATATATACGAATACACATATATCTAAATAAATAAAAACAGTCACTAACAATTGCAATAGAAAAAAATTCAGTAAACCTAGCAGCAGTGAGTGCAGTGCTTCTGTTGTAAGGTTTGGATTTATTTTACAGTTCCAACAGAAACATATGAGTTTCTGGATCTTGCCGTTCATTTACAAAAGGCAATTTAGATTGTCCCTGAAGCTTATGAGAAATGCTGATTAAGAAGTTTCTTTGCTTTTGATGAAACTGGTCCATCACACAGGATAGAGTCAAAGCATCAGTTACTAACCTCTGATCTACCTGGGTCAGTGGTGGCGAACCTATGGCACATGTGCCACAATGGGCTGTTTTTATCATTGAAAGCTCTAAAAGGTTTGCCATCCCTGGCCTAGGTATTTCCACTTACCAACTTTGTCTGCTTGCTTTCTTGTTCTCTATGTAGCTGCTCGGTGTCTTTTAAGACATCGTGAATCTCCTTCACCTTTGTAATTGCTAGCCTTCTCATCTCATTCATGCCCTATTTGGTGATTTTGTTTTTATTTCACTTTTTTCTCTCTACTTTAAGGTCATTTGTTATTTAACAATGCTGTTTGTATCAGTTTCTACTTTTTTGTTACAAGCTTGTATTTTTTTCTTTTTCATTGAAAGTTTAAAAAATTAGAAATGTATGCTCCTGGGATTTTTTTAATACTGGGTGACTTGCTCCCCAACTAGAGTTAGCTCAAGTATGGAATGTTTGTGGAGGTTTCCCATTCTGTCACATTCTTGAAAAAGAGTTAACGACATGCGTTTCATTATGCTCTATCCTAGAAGTGTGGAAGGCTGATGACCAGATGGAAAGGGAACACAGAAATCCAGATGAGCAAGCGAGGCAGTTTATGGTCCTTAAGAACCAAACTTCATTTGAGGAGAGAGGTAATCTCTTTGGAAAAACGTTTAATCTGAACACAGAATTTGTTTCTTTAAGACAAGTGCCCTATAAATATGATTTATATGAAAAAACTTTGAAATATAATTCAAACTTACTTAATAATAATAGCTATGCAAGAAAGAAAGGTGATGAGTGCCCTGGATTTGGAAAACCACTCCTGTATCTGAAGCAAGAGAAAACCCATCCTGGAGCAGAATACTCTGAATATAATAAAAGTGGGAAAGCCCTTGGCCATAAAGAAGTCATTTTTAAACATCAGAAAATTAAAAATTTGATTCAGCCTTTTATTTGTAATTACTGTGACAAGACCTTCCCCTTTAAGTCACTCCTCATTAGTCATAAGAGAATACACACTGGAGAGAAGCCCTATGAGTGTAGTGTGTGTAAGAAAACCTTCTCCCATAAGGCAAACCTCATCAAACACCAGAGAATTCACACTGGGGAGAAACCCTTTGAATGTCCTGAGTGTGGAAAAGCTTTCACTCACCAGTCAAACCTTATTGTACACCAGAGAGCACACATGGAGAAGAAGCCCTATGAGTGCAGTGACTGTGGAAAGACATTTGCTCAGAAGTTTGAACTTACTACACACCAGAGAATTCATACTGGAGAGCGACCGTATGAGTGTAATGAATGTGCAAAGACCTTTTTTAAGAAATCAAATCTCATTATACATCAGAAAATTCACACAGGAGAGAAACGCTATGAGTGTAGTGAATGTGGAAAATCTTTTATCCAGAACTCACAACTCATCATACATATGAGAACTCATACAGGAGAGAAACCCTATGAATGTACTGAATGTGGCAAAACTTTCAGCCAGAGATCAACTCTTCGATTACATTTGAGAATCCATACAGGAGAGAAACCATATGAGTGTACCGAATGTGGAAAGGCCTTCAGCAGGAAGTCCCGACTCAGTGTCCATCAGAGAGTTCACATAGGGGATAGACCTTGAGACTACCACGAGGTGGTACTGTGAAAACCGCTCAAAATCCCCCCAGTGAGGAAAAAACAAAAATTGAAATTCATACCAGGATACAATCTCTCAAGTAAAAAATGTATTTAAAAAAAAAGTATTGCCTTAGGGCAACATTATACCAGAAGGTAGATATGACACCCATCAGAATATATCCAATTGTAAATAGACATATCTCACTATGTTACATTGAGCTTTATTTTGTTCTTGCAGCACTAGGGATTGAACCCAGTCTCTTGCCTGTATTGGGCAAATGGTCTAACACTGAGCTACATCACCAGCCCACAACGAGCTTTTTAAAATTTTGAATGAACTGAATATTCTGGGAAGAAGCAAAAAGAATATGTAGATGATGCCCTAGGAACTTATATGTGAAAGTATGCTACAAAACACAAATTATGTTTTAAATCTGCATATATAAATGTAACAGTCATTGGGAGTATGAAATTCTTGTCCTCTGTAATCATTAGAATATATCAAACAAGATTTTCCATACTGTGGTAAGCATCACATTTGTTTCAGTACCTTTCCAACCCAGTATGAGTTCCAGATGAATTATATAACATTTCAAAGTAGCATGGAGCAAATTTTTTTTCTCCTACTGCTTGCTGGCATATATAAGTTGGTGTGACATTGTTACTGAGCCTCTTTGCTAAGGAGAAGACAATATTGTTGGAGTCTTAACCTGATTCTTGGTTTGAATATTTTCTAGAAACATTATTTATATAAATATGCAAGTGTTAGATCTAACTAAGAAATCAGTGAAAAGAGGCAGATAGGACTGTATTACTTAGAATGTACTGCAGAATAAAAATAACGCCGTGCAAAGAGTATCCTCATCATCATGCTCTTGTTTTTCCAGGGGGTATTGACATACAATGCATGTGTATTTCCAAAAGATTGTATAACCCAGAAGCCACCTGTATTTTTGTGTGTTTCTCTGGCTCTCTTAATACTTTATGAATTGTCTTACAAAAAGTCATGCTTATGTACCTCACAAATGCTAGTTACATTTCAGAGACCTTAGAGGAAAAAATAATTTATTTTAAGAAAACTACGAAGAATTATCTGTTTTGCTTTTTAACATGTCTATGGGCATAATTAACTAGAGATGAATTTTTGTAATATTCTGTTTAAAGGAAGCATCATTTCTTCGAATCTCATCTCAATCTAAAACTTTCCCTTTGCAACCTGAATTAGTATAAATTAATTACCTTTTCTTTCAGTGTTTGCACTCTATAAGTTAGACTTTTCAGTGGTTTCTTTATATGTTGTTTGATAATTAATGTTACAGTGATCTTTTTGCATAACTGAAATGTGCCATTTTAGCTTGGTTTCTAATTCACAAGTTCATCCTTTCCCTCTTAAACACAAATCATGCAGTGGAATTATAAATGAAAAGCAAAACTGGCTTTTATTACTTTTGAAGATCTCTGATGTGCTGTGACTCTATGTGATTGTGAATGAATTTCTGGAAAAATCTACCATAACAGTAAATCTTTGTCTTTCTAAGTTAAGATCTTACCTACTAGTGACACAAGAAAGTGGGGGTGGGGGGAGTTACTTTTAACACTGCTGTTGGAAATGTAAATTGTAACAGCTTCCTTCTTTTTATGTTAAAAGTGTGTGTGTGTGTGTGTGTGTGTGTGTGTGTGTGTGTGTGTGTGTGTGTGTG